TAACAAGGGCCTTACTAGTAGTAACAAGAAGCTAGTAGAAACAATAATTAGAAGCAAATTAAATGAAATAAAAAGCTATTAGGTTGAAGGCCAGGAGTCGGGTGAGATAAGGCGGGCTCCACAGAATGCGGAGCTCTTTGGAGCGCTTCAGAAAGGCGCCGAGGCCATAGACACCGCGCTCCATGAGCTCATGGTCTGTCTGGTGGATGCAAGCCACGTCCAAAAAGCCTTCGAACGAGCAAGAGGTAGCTACTGTAGCTATGAACGTCATATATTCGTTTCTAGTAACTTTCTTTTTGCCCGGGGCATAGACCGCTAAGGGAGGTAGGTAGTAGCTAGTAGCTAGACAGCTAGTAGCTAGGCTAGCACGAACGCTACCGACAGGACGCAGCAGAACTCACGCGTTATTGATTTGGCTCCTAGGCTTTTTGGGAAACCAATGCCAGGCGCTACTAATAGCTTCTTGTTCCTAGTAGTAAGGCACCTTGATGTTGGTTAATGTATCGGAGGCGTCTGCGTTGAGAACTGTCCCCAGGTACCCCTCCCTTTTTGTGGGTTGGGGTGTTCCTGGGGATCTGGGCTTCTGCATGTTTGGGATGTGGCCCTGTTCTAATTTTGTGATGGGGAAGTTGCGCCCTTTAGTTCGCATGGGGCAATCTGTGGAGCCCTCCATGTTCGTGCATATTGTTTGAGACAACATGCATGTGTTTTCTAGGCTGCGGTGCTTTACTGTGATATGACCGCGGTTGCTTGATTCTTGTCCTGCCCGCCTCCCGACAAATAGGGGGACAACGAAATAGTTTCTGAAGACCAGTTTCTGAATACAGTGCAGTTTCTGAATCCGACTTTGTTCCATCGCGGCTACGAGCAAGGACGCTACTAGGGGCCCCTGACCTTACTACTAGGAGCCAGAAGCTACTAGGAGCAAAGCGCATCGCTGCTAGGAGCAAGGACGCTACTAGGGGCTCCTGACCTTACTACTAGGAGCCAGAAGCTACTAGGAGCAAAGGGCATCGCTGCTAGGAGCAAGGACGCTACTAGGGGCTCCTGACCTCACTACTAGGAGCAGGAAGCTACGGGCATCGCTGCTAGGAGCAAGGACACTACTAGGGGCTCCTGACCTTACTACTAGGAGCAGGAAGCTACTAGGAGCAAAGGGCCTCGCTACTAGGAGCAAGGACGCTACTAGGAGCAATGATGTTACTAGGGGCTCCTGGCATCGCTACTAGTAACAAGAAGCTACAGGAGGAAAGGGCATCGCTGCTAGGAGCAAGGACGCTACTAGGGGCTCCTGGCATCGCTACTAGCAACAAGAAGTCAGGAGCAAAGGGCATCGCTACCAGGAGCAAACACGCTACTAGGGGCTCCTGGCATCGCTACTAAAGCTAGGAGCAAAGGGCATCGCTACTAGGAGCAAGGACGCTACTAGGGGCTCCTGGCATCGCTACTAAAGCTAGGAGCAAAGGGCATCGCTACTAGGAGCAAGGACGCTACTAGGGGCCCCTGGCATCGCTACTAAAGCTAGGAGCAAAGGGCATCGCTACTAGGAGCAAGGACGCTACTAGATCGAGACTACACCCCTAGAAGTCGAACGGGGTCCACGGGCCCGATACACCACGGACTGAACGGACTATACCCTAGCAGGTTGGAGGCCGAGGCTATCGCTTTCGTCAAAAAGAGCCGAGGAACAAATCTGCTGCATCTGTTTCTCCTTCTTCGAGCTCCCGTTCACGATGTCATGCGCATCGCTTGCAAAAGGCTTTCGATCGAGAGACATCTCAATCTCTTCGCTTTGTTTCTCTGCGCGACGTGAATCGTTTTGCCCGTCTCCTTCATGAACATCACCGGTGCCATTCTTGTGCGCTCCCTTATCTTCCTCCTTCTGCAACGTCCATCGCTTGAAACAGCTTGAGTAGGTGATATTGGGCAGGTAAGGCAGGTAAGGGGTCATCAGAAGGGCCAATAGCTGCACTGGCAAGCTGGCGGCCAAACACCACGGAAAATACGAGCAAACATGTTCAAACTTTGCCGCTCGGAATCGGCAATCACTTGGCATGGGTAACACGGAAACTAGGTCCAAAATGCGAATGAGAAAGGCACTGGCTGCCCACATCAGCAACATGTATTTCCAGCCGGCTTGAAGCAGCAACGAGAGAACTTTCCAATGGCCAGGTGTCTGCCACGTGTGCGACAGAAACACATCGAAATGAGTGACCTGCAGGGTTTTTGCTTTCGGCACTCTTAGGTTTGCTTGTTGTTCTCCTTTTTGAGAAAACACATTTTTCCCGAAAGCGTTGCGAAGGGTTCTTCCGGAAAATCTCTTGAACACTGACACTTCCACACTTACACTTACACACTGACACTTCCACACTTGCACTTGAACACTGACATTTCTACATGTACACTTGAACACTTACGCTTCCACACTTACACATGAACACTGACACGTCTATCACGTCTATACGTATCCCAGTGTAAGTGGAAGAGTGAAAGCACTCCACGGCAAGTATCCAAGTGCAAAAGTACAACTTGCACGGGAGATGTCCTAATGAAAAAACATTTCTCACGCTCACTCACACTCACTCACACTCACACTCACACTCGCTCTCACTCACTCACTCACTTTCACTTTCCCTCTCCCTCTCCCTCTCCCACTCACACTCACTCACTCTCCGCCTCTCACTCACACACACTCACTCACTCACTCACCACCATCGCCACCGTCACCACGATCCCCACCTTCACTCCCCACTTTATAAATTCTCTCTTAAAGGCGGAGGGTGGGACGAACAGCGTCAACCGAAAATGCAACCCTCTGCGGAGATCGTGCGCGTCGAGTGCGCGAAATGCAGGCGAGAGTGCGATTTGCCCCATGCCCGCGCAACCCTCTGCGGAGATCGTGCCTTTGGAGTACACCTTGGAGTATCTGGGGAGCTGGAAGATGAGAACTGGCGACTTGGTAGTGCAACTTCAGTACGCGGAGTATCTGTGGAGCTGGAAGATGAGAACTGGCGACTTGGTAGTACAACTCCAGTACGCGGAGGTGACTTGCGAGAGGCCAAGAACTTGCAGAAAAAAGGTGTTCCTGCGCTTCAGAAAGACATACAGAGAGAGACACATACACACACAGACATAGATACACACACACACAGAGACCCACGCACTGCCTCAACACACTCGACTTAACACTTCACACTGAACACATAACTCACACTCCAACTTCACACGTGATGAAAAATGCTTTTGGGCCACTCGTCGTCTAGTTTGTTTTAGGTTGGACCTGCTGAGACCAATCCCAAAGGCGTGCACGCTTGTCCACGTCCAAATCAAGTGGCGAACGGCGCCACAATTGCCCGAAACCTCGAAGGCTGCGCTGCAGGGGTAGTCCTCGAAAAAACTCGTGGCTTCAAAGAAAAACTAGAGACGCTACTAGGGGCTCCTGGCCTTACTACTAGGAGCAAGGACGCTACTAGGAACAAGTGCATCGCTTCTAGTAACAAGTGCCTTACTAGTAGTAACAAGAAGCTCGAATTCAAATTTAATTAGTACGAAAGTGAATTAGAATTATATCAATTTAAATTAGAATTAGGAATAACATTTAACTTCTAGTAACAAGTGCATCGCTTCGACGTAACAAGTGCCTTACTAGTAGTAACAGGGTCCGCTACTAGGGGCTCCTGGCCTTACTACTAGGAGCAAGAGGACGCTACTAGGGGCTCCTGGCGTCGCTACTAGGAGCAAGAGGACGCTACTATGTCAGTGAGCGCAGGGGCCTCCAACCTAGTAGCTTCTTGCTCCTCGTACCACTTCTGCATCCACTTGGAACTGACGCATCTGCATCAGTTTTTGCTGGCCCTGCTTGACCTGAAAAAGCAACAAAACAAACGTATTGAAGCAAACAATTTGGTTTAACGGTTTACCTGAGTTTACCAAACTTCTGGAATATAGATGGGCCTTTTATCCTGGGACCTCAAGTCAAATCTAAACTGACCTTGGAAACATATGTGAAACTTTGTCAAAAACAGCGAACCTCCGACAATGAAAGTGAAAGCGACACAGGCTGCCTCTGCACTAGGCAAATGGGCAACACACAACGGCAAAAGCAAGCAGGCCGATCTTTCCAACAAAAGCGTCCTTGCTACTAGTAGTAAGGCCAGGAGCCCCTAGTAGCGTCCTTGTGAATAGTAGCAATGCGCCTAGTAGCGTCCCTGCTCCTAGTAGTAAGGCCAGGAGCCCCTAGTAGCGCCCTCCTTGCTCCTAGTAGTAAGGCCAGGAGCCCCTAGTAGCGTGCTTGCTCCTAGTAGCGTCGTAATAGGAATGCCCCTCTAGCAGCATCCTCTTGCCCCTAGTAGTAAGGCCAGGAGCCCCTAGTAGCGTCCTCTTGCTCCTAGACAGGAGCCTCTAGTAGCGTCCTCTTGCAGTAGCATCCTTGCACTAGTAGCAATGCCCCTAGTAGCAGTAGTAAGGCCTTGCTACTAGTAGTGGCAATGCCCCTAGTAGCGTCCTTGCTCCCAGTAGTGAGGCCAGGAGCCGCTAGTAGCGTCCTCTTGCTCCTAGAAGTAAGGCCAGGAGCCCCTAGTAGCGTCCTCTTGCTCCTAGCAGTAAGGCCAGGAGCCCCTAGTAGCGTCCTCTTGCTCCTGTTACCTAGTAGCGTCCTCTTGCTCCTAGTCGTAGGAGCCCCTAGTAGCTTCTTGTTCCTAGTAGTAAGGCCAGGCTACTGTTTGCGTCCTTGCTACTAGTAGCAATGCCCCTAGTAGCTTCTTGTTCCTAGTAGTAAGGCCAGGTGCCCCTAGTAGCTTCTTGTTCCTAGTAGTAAGGCCAGGGGCTACTGTTAGCGTCCTTGCTACTAGTAGCAATGCCCCTTGCTACTAGTAGTAAGGCCATGCCATGTAATGTCTGACTTGCGAGTGAGCTGCGTCCGAATGTAGGTTTGAAGGCTCGTCCATGTTGGCACCCTCTTGACTCGTCAATTGCGGCGAAGCCGTTGAATAGCCAACTTGGGCCACTTCAACTACTTGGGGGGCTCCATCCTCTTCGCAGCAGCTCAGCCCGCCACCCATGCTACTGCTACAGTGTCCGGGTCGACAGAAAACATCCAAGTGGTACGGGCCTCTTGTTTCTACTTGTGCCGAATCTGGAAGTACAAGCCCCGACCGAAGCCCTTGAATGTTTCATGGAGCTTTGGAGATTACCTTTGTTTTCATTCATGTCCTTGATCCATCTGGCCAACTTCGAAGAGAATCGTCGCGCGCAACACTGACGTAGCAAGACTGAGATCTGTGGATCGGTGGCAATGCCAAGGAGGTTTACCGCAAACACATGAACAACACCGCTAGGTCCAATAGGGGGTCCCATCTGCGCTCACTGACAGTAGCGTCCTTGCTCCTAGTAGCGATGCCCTTTATTTCCTTGCACACGTTCTGTCTTTCCTAACAATCCTGCTTTGAAACACATAGCTCTTAGCGCGGCATGCAAGCGTGACCGCATGGCAATATGTGTGCCACATATGCGCAAGCGTAACAGCGCTGCAACAAACAAGAAACACAGAACCTTCTCCGCAACCCGCTCTCCAGCCTGTCGGCATGTCAGCGCGACAGCATGACCCGACATCAACGTTGCAGTGTGACAAGTTTCAACATGTTAGTGTGATCCACGTCAGTCCTAATAGCAATGGCCTCCAACCTACTAGCGATGGCCTCCAACCTAAGAGCGATGGCCTCCAACTCAGTTGCGATGGCCTCCAACCTAATGGTACCTGAACAGTTTTAAGCAAATAAACTACTCATCACTGCTAGGGTGGAGGCCATCGCTATGAGTGCCAAGTACTCAGGTACTTGTGGTACTCTCGTGGTCTTTTGCAGCCCTGAAGATTGCAAAAGACCACAAAACACCACCGTCCCCACCGTCCGCCTGCAACGGGCGCATGTGCGCCGATGGGAAGCGCAGACTCGGGGCAGTTCGCGAGAACGGCAGCTTCGGCCTCGTTAGAGGTAGCCGGGACAGCGCAGCGAGAAGCCATGGCCAAGGACCTGCGCTACTTTGCGGACTTGCACTGGCCAACGCCAGCCCGTTTTGGGCAGTCTACAGGGCAGCAGGCGGCCCTGTGGCCATTACGTGGCTGCCGCACGCCTGCGCCCGCCCTAGCCGTGCTGCTGCTACTATAGCTCCTGCGGCCTTGTCTGGGAGTGGCCATGCTGCCTTGTGTGGGAGTGGCCATGCTGCCGGCTGGTGGCCATCACCATGGTGGAAAAGCGTGGCGGAGCAGATTGCCGGGAGCCTTGGGGGTCAGGCAACTAGCTTTATGGGCTCCCGAAGGCAAAGTGCCAGGCAACGTGCCAAGCAACGTTAGGCATTTTGGCTGGCTGCGGCGTGCCCCTTTTTGGTGTGGAAACAGATGGTGTCGTTTGCCAGGCTTGAAACCCTGCGCTGCGACACGAAGGACCTGTACAAAAAAATGGATCCAATCGTTTGCATCTCAAGCCGTTTGCATCTCAAAAAAGACAAAGGTCGGCGGCACCAGGGCGGAGCCCTTACAATTTTCGGAAGCACATCTTTTCTGACATATGAAAGCGTGTGCCTTAGAAAGCATCCGGAGGGCGTTTACACGTCCTCTCGGGTACATTACATAATACATACGTTGCATAGTTCCAGAATTCGTCTGCACAACTGTTTTTTCACAAACACGACGTTGTACTTCTAAAGTCGCAACTCTGGCTTGTCAGAAGCACAACGTTGCACATAACTGCCTAGGAGCAAGGACGCTACTAGGGGCTCCTGGCCGTACTACTAGGAACAAGAAGCTACTAGGAACAAAGGGCACCGCTACTAGGAGCAAGGACGCTATTAGGTGGAGGCTATATGTATGTACAAGCCTGCGTTCTCACAAACATGACGGTGCGTCTCCAAAAATGCCACCCGCTTCTTCCCACGCATCACATTGTGCTTTGCAGAAACTCTGTGTGCTTCACGCAGAACACACACGAACTTTGACAATGAAACGATGCCTTTTTAAATTCGATTCCTGTGTCCAACTTTAGAGAGGTTGGACCATCGCTAGTAGGTTGCAGGCCATCGCAATTAGGTTGGAGGCGATCCCTATTGGGTTGGAGGCCATCGCTATTGGGTTGGAGGCCACCGCTATTCGGTTGGAGGCCATTGCCATGCATTAGGTTGGAAGCCATCGCTACTAGGTTGGAGGAAATCGCTATTAGGTTGGAGGAAATCGCTATTAGGTTGGAGGCCATCGCTGATAGCGTGTGCTTTTCAGAAGGCGGCCACCTACGCACATCACGACAGCTTGAGGACAGGGGTTCGAAGGGGTTCGATCTGGCGTCCAGGAGCCCCTAGTAGCTTCTTGTTCCTAGTAGCGATGCCCTTTGTTGCTAGTAGCTTCCTTGCTCCTAGTAGCGATGCCAGGAGCCCCTAGTAGCTTCTTGGGATCTTTTCTATCTTTTTGTCATCTTGTTTCTTTACTTTTCTCTCTTGAGACCTTTCTTCCGGTTTTTCTTGGGGCTCATCATGTCTGACTCATGTCTTCACGTGCATGTCGCCGTGCTGTTTTGGTTCGCTTTTGAACGGCATCTCTTGCCTGGCTTAAGCAGTCCACATGCACAAGGATGGAGAGACCGAGACTGACCAAGAGGCAGTTTGCCACAGGCACTCGGCGTTCAAAATTGCTCAATTCGGCTCCCAAGCTCTGAGCTTTGGATACCCGTAGGCATCACTTTCAGCTTTGGAGATCTTTGCATCCGAGGATGTGGAAGATTGATTAATTGATCGAAGAATGCCAATATCGGCATACAGAAAGATCGAACCAAAAAAAGCACGAACAAGCTGAAAACAACATTTGCCGTGTGAACCGAAACAAAACACATGTTACGCACAAACCACATGTCACGCCGGCGTTTGGAAAACAGGGCAAACATGGAAGATGGCCCCAGCGCCGGCGGGCGCCAATTGGCCCAGTGCGGGCACGAATTCTGTAAAACCATGGACGCATCGGAAAGTCAAACAAGAACGCTACTAGTAACAAGTGCCTTACTAGTAGTAACAAGTGCATCGCTAGTAGTAACAAGAAGCTAGTAGAAACAATTACTAGCACATAGCTTCTTGTTCCTAGTACGGCCAGGAGCCCCTAGTAGCATCCTTGCTCCTAGCGATGCCCTTTGCTCCTAGTAGCTTCTGGTTCGATAAAACATCACAGAAACGTTTCATAACATATCCGTTTTGATACCTAACGAGAACCAGTTCACAGCTGAGAACGGGCCGCGGGGATCATGTTCTGCGCCAATATGGATGCCAAGGCCTCCCAATCCGTCCCGTCTACCAGTCACAGTGCCAAATGTCCAGAATCTTGGCAAACAAAAACTATTTCTAGTAACTAGAAGCTACTAGGAACAAGTGCCTCGCTACTAGTAACAAGTGCCTTACTAGTAGTAACTAGAAGCTACTGGGAACAAAGGGCATCGCTACTAGGAGCAAGGATGCTACTAGGGGCTCCTGGCCTTACTACTAGGAGCAAGAGTTCGCTACGAGGAGCATATTGAAGAAACAAAAAACGCAACAGCAGCCGAAAAGTGTAGCAACCATCGCTAGTAGGTTGGTTGGAGGCCATTGCTATTAGGTTGAGGTCGCTATAAGCAACTCAAAAGAAAATATGTTGTTAATGTGGATTTAATGAGTTCGGAGGTCATTGCTATTAGGCTCAACTGCACAGAGTTGCTTTCCACTGCGTAGGTTGCCACGTTCGCCGTGCGCGTTCATGTGATCCCGGTGTGCTTCCCGCTGTGTCCCAGTTGAGGGTCTCCAAAGAAGGTGGTGAAGCGTCAACATCTCGTCAAAACAGGCTGATGCGGTGCTGACACGGTGCCGAAAACGGTCCCTGCGACACTGTGATACCATTTTTTGATCCTTTAGCTGCCTAGCGCGTTGAGGTGAGGCGTTTGTAGTGCTTCTGTACTTTTCGGGGGTGTGTGCACCCCAACCAAATGCCTGGAAAGATTCCACAACGCACTCCACAAAACAGGTCTGAACTGTGCCAAACAGTGTGATTTGCGTCAAAACAAGTGTGATTTCCCAGTGGTAAACAACAGCGGGCAGCAAGAGTCGACCTACTAGCGATGGCCTCCAACCTACTTGTCACCCCAAGCTGCGCAATAATGGCCCCCAACCTAAGAGCGATGGCCTCCAACCATAACCTACTAGCAATGGCCTCGAACCTAACAGCGATGGCCTCCAACCTGCTAGCAATGGCCTCCAAAAACGATGGCCTCCAACCTACTGCTAGCAATAGCCTCCAACCTAGAGGCGATGGCCTGCAAGCTGCTAGCGATGGTCTCCAACCTACTAGCGATGGCCTCCAACCGGCTCCAACCTACTAGCGATCTCCAACCTAATAGCAATCCGATCTTTGCTCGTGCGGCTTCAAAAAAAGCCAAACACAAGCGCATTCAGTCTGACATTCCGTGCCTGCGTGGCCTTGAGCCGATCCAGCACCACGATCTGAAAGAACAAATGACGGTGCTGAACATGTGTGAAATCGAGAAAAATAGAGATAAGAAATGAAACAACAGGGCTGCACATGCCGTTCGCCGATGAAAGCACACCTCAAAAACTAGACGACGGTTGGCCCGAGAGCGAGAAAGGTGATTGTCAAGTTGTCCAAGGGCCACGGCTCCTTTATACAATCTGTTATTGGGTAAGAAGTTGCGAAGAAATTAGATCTAAAATATTAAGAGACCAGATATGTAGAATGAGAGAAAGAGAGGGCGGATGTGAAGGAGTGACAGTGTGGATGTGCAGGTGTGATATAGATGTGCAGATGTGTGGGCGTGTGGAGGTAGAGAGGTAGATCTGTGGATGTGAGCGTGAAGATGTAAATGTACAGAGGTGGGTGTGTAGACGTAGATGCGCAGATGCAACGGGAGCGCAACGCTGTCCTAACGAGCATCGATGGTACTTCAGGTCAGGGGCCCTGGATCCTACGCCGGGGTTACCGGCTCCGCTACCAGCTAGAAAACCCGTCTAGAACGACGTGAACGCGATGTACGGAAACTGAAAGTGAATGCACTTGTTTTTATCGCTTGAACGGCTTGTGTTGGGATTAGCGTGTGTTGATCTAGATCCGCCCTTGAACCAACGGTGAAGTACGTGCATATGTGTGTACATGGCTAGATAGGATACCTCTCTAGTCGGGTGGCTTCTGCCGAGTTGGTATGACTGTATTTCAAGAGCGGTTCCCCCACCAGCCGAGCTGAGATCGACTCAGCGAGTGCCCTCCCTTTTGGAGGGAATCAACCTACGAACGAAGGCATCGAACGAAAGCTGAGTGGGCGCCACTCGCCAAGGATCAAAAGGACTCCAAGGGGTGTTCGAGCGAACATCTGCCCGACATGGCTTCGAGCAAAGCTCTGCGATCACAAGACACCTTCGTCATCCCATCAGCTCGCATATCGCGAGTGTCCACTCTTAAGTTCTTTAATCCAGTGAATGTGACCAAGGAGAGATTTCTCTGCTGGATATTTCCCACTGGAATTTTTGATTGGATGATATACACTTTTGGCATCGATCGTGATCACAAGTTTAGTCTTAAAGCCACCTTCTTCCCTCATCTTCAAGAGCTGCGCTGCTTTTCGGCTCCATGGATGAGTTCTTCGAAAGTGACCAGGTACAAGAAAGCATGACCCGTGGCTCCAGTGAGAGCCAACAACTCAGATATGCACTTCGTTCTGGATTGGGTTCATTTTCATAGTTTTTTAGACCTTGGAAATTTCGATCGGGAGGTTGTAATGCATAATGTTCATTATTCGATTCCGATAAGTTCCTATTCAAGGGTTGTGCTGATTCATGTGGGTTATCCTTACGTTGTCGTCGTCTTGGTGTACGTGGTCGTTGACTCTGCGGTACATCAGTTGGAACTTCACTCTCGAATCGATCACCTGCCTGATTCCCTTGAGAACTATCTGGATGGGTTGAATAGTCGGGCGACTTCTGCGTCGTTGACGTGCTTGCATCGGGTGCTGGCACTGCATCTTCAAACAAGTGTTGAGCAATCTGACTTATGGCAATGTTACGTTGCTCATGGCAGCCTTCTGTGCGCCAGTCCATGACATGATCACATGTATCACACCGGCATGGATGGTGCTTGACTCGCGTATTGTGGCTAAGTCTGACGATGCATGCACTTCATGGCGGCTCCATGGCATTGTCAATGCGGATGTTGAAGTAGCACAACCGATGAAAGCTCTTCTTCGTTCCATTTTAGACGGTTGGCAATCTGATTTAACAGTGGATGGTGCCACATATTACCGAAAGCACTGAGCAACATGCAAGGAACTTCGCAATCTTCTGCTGCTACTAACATCTTGGCTACTTCATCTATGCAAGCACTAAATTTACTGACATGAACATGCCTGCCTCGAACAGGACCGTGGATCCAAACCGAATCAAACTGGCCTCTTCGAATCTGCTTTGTGATGCGGCTTTTCGAAAACAGGATGGCTCTTGGGTCTAGGACTTCTATCTGATACCCCTTAGATTGATATATGTTGCCTATCTTACCAGTGTCTTCAACAATTGCTGCAAACGGCAACCTTTCGAACAATGGAAATGCGGATTCATTTACGGGTCAGGCGATCGTGGTCGATATGGTGCAGCATGGCTTGATGACTTAGGCTCACGTCCTACTGGCCCCCAATCTCCCCAGCGATCATCAGCTGCGGCAGGTTCAGGTGGTCGCATGCTACCTGGCGTTGGCGCTTCGAAGGTTCCAGTGTCAGAAACAGTCGTGATTTCAGGAGGTGGACCCACCGGTTCTTGGAGACCTAGCCGTGGATCGAAAAACGTGCTTAAGGTTGTCGATCTGTTGTTGTGCTTCCGGAGGTGGTATTCCTGCATCAGCCGGTTGTAGTGGCACTGCATCATTCTGCCGCGAACTGGCTGGCGACTTGCTTTGGGGACGTAGTGGAACAAGTCGGAATGTTGTATTCGGGGCCAATGGATTGTGCGCTGACATGGGGGTCGCAGAAATGGTCCATGATGTGGTCGTGGATGGAGCCTGCCATGGCATGACTGACGGAGCCGCTGGCTGGAATGAAGGCATCTGAGGCATCTGTGGGTCCTTGGTAGGAGTGCGATCGAGTCGGTCCGTACGAGGTCGTGGCATGGGATATGCTTGCGAACTCCACGGATCATTCTGTTGCAATGGGTCGGCTTCTTCCACCATCAAGAACGTACCACTGATGATTCCGGGGGGAAGATCATGCGCTGCCTGACTACTTAATGGCGCAGGAGTTTCAATGAACAATGTGGTATTGGTCTGGGATCGTTGTGGACACTTGTTCACAATATGTTCAGTGCTACCACACTGATGGCATTTCATGACCTCTCCATTCTTTCCCCGGAAATTACCTTTCGGCCCTTGCCCTTACCGGGCGACTTACGCCAATTTGCGACCCTTGGCCATGCGGAACATTGATGCAACTTCATGGTCTGACAATGATGCTAGGTACGCACCGGCATTCTGGCTCGTGGATTGGATCTTAGCCTTTCCCTTACCCTTACCCCGTTTCTCCCCTTTGCCACCCCTCTTCAAGAACCTGCGACTTACGAACTCTCCGAGTGGGCTTGTTCATGTGCGAGCGCCAGGCCTGCTTTGCATGGCTGTACGCCCACCAGAGACGATGCGTTCGGATTCCGGCCTGGCGAACTCTTCCGGCATGCCCTCATCATGAACAGGGGATGTGTTGGATGATGTGTCACTATCTGTACACGAATCTTCATCAGTATAGTATGTGGCCGGGGCATCATACGGGTATGGGGGAGGCTGATACGAGGACGATGCATCATTGGCTGGCATTGCAGGATAATGTTCAAAGTTCGACCATGACATGTCCTGGAACTGATCTGGGCTTTGCGCCAAATGCTCACCAAAATATGCCTGATTGAACCTCTGGTTGGGTCGGTTCATCGAAGATGCTACATTGCCTGGCGTCCTCTCGACAATGTGGCCCATTCGACGAAGTGCTGACTTCAATGCCTCCATGCCTTGATCATCTGCTGGCAAGTTCCCATTCAATGGCGGTGCCGCCAGGAGATTCAACAACTGATGTTCTGAAACTCCTACCGCCCTGAGAAGCAACCGACCGAGGCCTTGGGGTGACAGGACAAGATTGCCATGCCCTTGGGCCTTGACCGTAGCACCATCAATGACCATCAAACCTCTGCAACAAGGCGTCGATCCTTTCGCCCGAATGCCAATCGAACGAAAGCAGGCCTTGGATGGCCTCGAGACGCTGCTCCTCACCAAGCCTTGCATACCTTTGGGCAAGCGAATGCATGATGAAGGTCACCGAATCTACGGCCTGGCCATTGATCACACCTCCATTCAGCATCACAGCTGGAGGGATCGTCCTGGCAAGCTCTCTGGCATTGCCCGTCAACACACTAAGGAGCGCTGCAGCCTTCCTGCCACCATCCCATTCACTCATGATGCTCCACAGAAGCACATCGCGGCTCCAATGGACAAAGGGATTGTTGCTTTCAAGCTCAGGCCCCCAACTCGGTGGCAGCTTGGGATTGTGAGAGGAACCAAATCCGGTCCGGGATGCATTCCAAGAACACAGCATGGGGCGATCGCTGCCAAAGATGCAGCCACATACTGAATCAAGACGATGATCCTATCAATGATTCCACTCGGCACATGTATATTCATCAGACGGCCAACAAGATCCTCTTCACGAGACGAATTGGACGCTAGCAATGTACTCTCAACAATCTCTCTAATCTCTTCTGAGATGGAGGTTGAAGCGGTGTGTGAATTCCAAGCACTGGTCGAATTCAATGCACTCTTGTGTTGGGCCCTGAACCTCCTCTTCAATCGCCTCCTTCTGGAACTCTTCGAAGACGAACGGACCTTGAGGTGGGCCCTGTGGTACCTGCGGAACCTGGACTCTGGCATGCGAGCTCCGTCGATCTTCGCTAAACGAGGCTGCCCGGTCGAGTCCGAGAACACTGTCTGAACTTCGCTCTTCAGCTGCACTTCCCTCGTCGACGAGACACTTCGGCCTGAACCTCGGTGGTGTCCATCACATTCTCAAGATGAGACAGTCTTGAGTCTCCCCGAGACTGCCCCACCCCAAGAATGATCAGGCTAACCACCGTTAGCACCATCATACAGACGCGGGTGAGTGAGAACAACATGATCACCTATCTGTGTATGTAGATATCTTGATATGGATGGCTCCTATGTGATCTAGTGTCCTAACGAGCGTCGATGGTACTTCAGGTCAGGGGCCCTGGATCCTACGCCGGGGTTACCGGCTCCGCTACCAGCTAGAAAACCCGTCTAGAACGACGTGAACGCGATGTACGGAAACTGAAAGTGAATGCACTTGTTTCTATCGCTTGAACGGCTTGTGTTGGGATTAGCTTGTGTTGATCTGGATCTGCCCTTGAACCAACGGTGAAGTACGTGTATATGTGTGTACATGGCTAGATAGGATACCTCTCTAGTTAGATGTACAGATGTGCAGATGTGAAGATGAGCAGAGATGTAGATGTGCAAATGTAGATGTGCAAATGTGAAGATGTAGATGAGAGATGCTTTTTAACGAAAAACCCTTTGCAAACGCTCTCGGGAATATTGTATCTTCTTTTTGAAAAAAAGTCTCTGAAAGGCAAAGTGGGGCAGCAAGAAGCTTCCGCGTAAAAGAACTGGCAAAAAGAAGAATCAACACAATCTTCGTTCGGTTTCTACAGAAGTTTCCAAAGTGTAATATGTGTCTCCTTTGTGTCCCACAAATAAGGCCAGCAAGTTGTAGCTTTGTCAAACGAATGCATTTCTCGGCCTCTTTGCTCACGAAACCAAATCGAAGATATGTGTCCTTCGGACAAATCTGCAGGCCATCGCTAGTAGGTTCCTTTGCTACTAGGAGAAAAGGGCATCGCTACTAGGTGCAAGGACGCTATTAGTAGCTCCCGGTACTACTAGAAACAAGAAGCTAGTACGTGCGGTAAGCAATTGCCAAGTTCTCCTCTTGCCTCGAGATTTCTCCCCTCCTCTCTCCTTGCTGCCGTCCAAGAGCTCGGCCAAGTGCCGCAGGTTCCGCACCTCCAAAGAATTGCCTACCGCACCTAGTAGCTTCTTGCTTCTAGTAGTAGTACCAGGAGCTACTAGTAGCGATGCCCATTGCTCCTAGTAGCAAAGGAACCTACTAGCGAACCTACTGCTGTCGCGACGTGTTGTCGCCTGGATGCCATTGAAGCTTTCCAAAACCTTTCAGAAAATGAGAAAATCAGAACATGCTTCGAAAGAGCTTTTTAGAAACCAGTTGTAACAACCCTTCCCGCCTCATATTCCAACTCCGAATACCCAACCTCTGCTCTCAAGTTGTTTCGCTACTAGGAGCAAGAAGCTACTAGGTTGGAGGCCATAAGAAACAGAAAATGGTTGGACTTGAATACTCTGGAGAAGACCAATTCCATAATTCAAGAGGACCTTGACGAAGCCAAAAATGTGTGCGAAAAGACCTTTGGATCATGTTTGGATCAAAAAAAACTGTGGGTCGGCAACACGCTAACAGCCACGTTACAATGCATGGTGCCATAAAACCCGTCTAGCGCAGACTTTAAACAAGTCCGAAAACCACTTTTTGTATTCCAAAAACCGTCCGAAAATGCGAAGAATCCTTCCTTCCGAGCTTTTCTGTCCCTTTCCGAGGGGCCGTCAACTCACTGGCCAGGACTTGCGTCAAAATGAGCGGTTCATGGTCAGCACACCTCGTCAGGCCAACTGCCCTTTGTTCCATGATAAGGCGCTTAAGTACTCTTGTTCCTAGTTCGAAAGCCAGGAGCCCCTAGTAGTGTCCTTGATTATTTTTACTACTTTCTATATCGTTTTTGCAATTTCTATGTCTTTATTTGGGGGGTAGGCCGCGAGTAGAGAAGTAAGAGCAAACGGTAGCTACTAGTCACTGGACGCAGGATAGCTAATGAGTTGGCTCGACTTTCAGGGAAACTTCCAGGAGCAAAGGGCATCGCTGCTGGGAGCAAGAGGACGCTACTAGTGGCTCCTGGCATCGCTACTAGGAGCGTCCTTGCTCCTAGTAGCGATGCCAGGAGCCCCTAGTAGCTTCTTGTTACTAGTAGTACGGCCAGGAGCCCCTAGTAGCGTCCATCCCTGCTAGTGAAACTTCATGCGGCGCAATTTCATCGGAACCTGGTGGCCCTGAAAAACGCCGAGAAGTTGAAAACAACGTCGCATGACGTCAACGGAACCAACGTGTAACGCATCCGAACGGAACGCATCGCATCGCGGATTGGCTCACCTGCGGTGGCCGTTCTCCAGCAAATGGAGAAGCCTGCAAAAGGGAGAGCAGGAGGCCATCGCTACTAGATTGCCATCCGTCTTGGAGGCCGCTTCTAGGTTGACAGGAAGACTTTGACTGTGACGACCTGAGTGTCCTGCTCAGCCGGCATTTCTGCTGGTCGCTTCTCAGCAAAGTTCTGGCAAACGCAAGGGGCGACCAGCAGAACTAAGGTGCAAAACACATTGTTGTCCCTTTGCTGTGGCCGTTGCAAAAAGCCTTATCAACATCTCGACGTGCAAAAGCCTCGAGATGATCCCCTTATCTTTTGAATTGTTGCCCAACACGCCTCTCCAAAGGCGGCCTCCATGAAGGGCATGGTCAAGGGGACAAACACAAGTCCTGCAAAAATTCGACAGTGAGGAACAAGAACGCTACAAGGAGTAGTGAAGAACACCATCTTGGCGCTAGCGGGCGGGGGCAGGAGAGAGGCGAGAGACAGCCGCAGGGATTGTGCTTCTGGCCTTGCCTTCCAAAAACAAGAAGCTACTAGTAACAAGTGCATCGCTAGTAGTAGCTAATTTACTACTAGTAACAAGAAGGTTTGATCACGAAAAGTGTGTTTTTTCATGGAGAACTGCAAAGCACAGTGGCACACGCTCGTAATTCTGGGTTTGTCCTCCAACCTAGCGATGGCCTCCAACCTAATAGCTTCTTGTTACTAGCAAGAATGCCCCTAGTAGCGATGCCAGGAGCCCTAGTAGCGTCCTTGCTCCTAGTAGTAAGGCCAGGTGCCCCTAGTAGCCTCCTAATTTGGACCATTAGGGCCTTTTCCGTTCTTTTCTTCTGGTTTCCTCCTGTGACTAGGAAGCGTGGAAGCATGGAGCCCGCTGTGGCATCTGGACCGCCTGTTGTCAAAACGGGAGCGAACATCGAAAGCGCCAATTGAAGCACGAAAGAAGCTTCAAGGAGGACAAAAAGAACGAAGAAGCTACTAGGGGCTCCTGGCCTTACTAGGAGCAAGAGTTCGCTACTAGGAACAAGTGCATCGCTACTAGTAACAAGTGCCTTGCTAGTAGTAACAAGAAGCTACAAGGAGCAAGAAAATGCAAAAAAGGTCTTCGTTCCAGCTTCTTTAGACCTGCATCTGCGCAAACCAGGTCCCGATTTCGTTCCAAGCAGACCTCCGGAGAATGCGATGCGCATTTTTGGTGAAACGATTCCCAACACTCCAACCAGAGCGATCGGATGCTACTAGGAGCGATCGGACGCTATTAGGGGCTCCTGGCATCCCTACTAGTAGCACTATTAGAAACAAGAAAAAGAATTTGAATTGAAATTTGATTAGAATTGAAACAAGAAGCTACTAGCACCTTTCCGCGCGCGCGAGGGGGGTAGGAGCAAGGACGCTACTAGGGGCGCTCCTGGCAATTCATCTTCGTCCGTCTTTGTCTTTGATTTTCTTCTTGGCTCGCTCTAGTGGCTTCTTGTTCCTACTAGTAAGGCACTTGTTACTACTAGAAGCTACAGAGTCGCTACCAGAAAAGAACCTGGAAACGTGAATTGTCGGAAACAGCTTCAGCATTCCGAGCTTCCAAGCAACGCACAGTGGAATACCTTGCTCCGTAAAATAGGAACAAGAAGGCTACTAGGGGCTCCTGGCCTTGCTACTAGGAGCAAGGACGCTATTAGGAACAAAGGGCATCGCTACTAGGAGCAAGGACGCTACTAGGGGCTCCTGGCCTTACTACTAGGAGCAAGAACCTAAAATGCATAAAAACGCCTGCAAGGTGATCTTCTTCGGGGACCCTTCGCGCCGCAGCACCTGTCACCCAATTCAAGCAAACTGTGACCACCAAAATGGAAAACCGTAAAAAGTCAGCGATGCCTTTTGCTCCTAGTAGCGTTCTTGTTCCTAGTAGTAAGGCCGTCCTTGCTCCTAGTAGCGATGCCAGGAGCCCCTAGTAGCCTTCTAGTTCCTAGTAGCGATGGCCTCCGACCTAAAAAGCAGTGGAGCCGATGTCGAGCCAAAAGCGGACAGAAACTGCGGTTTGACGTGTGATCCCGAGAGCGGAAGGCGTTGCGCCGAATGCGACTGCAAAACAGAAGTGAGACAAAAAGGAGGAACCGAAGGCGTAGTTGGCGTAGTTTATCTTGAACGCGTTGCGAAGTTTGGAAGGACGCTACTAGTAGCAAGTGCATCGCGAGTAGTAACAAGTGCCTTACTAGTAGTAACAAAAAAGCTACTAGTAACAAAGTGCATCGCTACTAGGAGCACGAGTTCGGAGAAGGGCAACCCTTCCCAACTGAAAGACTGGGCAAGGAGTAGCGTATTCGAAAGTAGGGGGTAGTGTTGAAACCAAACACTAAAACGGAATGATTCAGCATTGGAAATCCAAATCCTAGGCCAAAACCGGTCTGAAAAGGTTCTTGTGTGCCAACAAGTGGCCTGCATCTCGCAATGCTCTCCGGGGTAATGCCGATTCAACAAATAGTTGAAGGCAACTCGCCCCCACCTCACATCACAATTCATAGCTAGTAACAGGTGCCTTACTAGTAGTAACAGGTGCCACGCTAGTAGTAACAGGTGCCTTACTAGTAGTAACAGGTGCCACGCTAGTAGTAACAGGTGCCTCACAATTCATCACATCTCACCTCCTTCCTCTCCCTGCGGTCTCCCACCGTTTCACCTGAGACCCCGGCGGCATGGCCACTTCTCCGTCGTTACCAATCTTGCAAGGCAAAAACCGAGAAAGGAAAACACACAGTAGTAACAAGAAGCTACTAGTAGCAAGTGCATCGCTACTATTAACAAAGGGCATCGCTACTAAAAGCAAGGACGCGAGTAGCAGCTCCTGAAATTACTATCAGGAGCATTCTTGCCACTAGTAACAAGAAACACTGCTTTCCTTTAAGAAACGGCTGCTCAAGCCAAGCCGACCGCTGGCAACCCTTCAAAAACCTGCTCCTATACACGGCGCCTTGAAAACCTGTGTCTTCACGTCGTATCTTCGTCACCGGCAGCCCGTTTCGGCGATGAAGCAAGGATGACGATGACAATACATTTGCACTACAAAGTTGCTCGTTCTGACGCGACCTCCCGTACTTCCTCCATCAAATGTTCATTCGACCTTGATTTTCGACGATCGTTGCAATGTGGCAACTTCCACCTTGATTTTCGACGATAGGGGCACACCTTGGCCAACTTGATTTTCGACAACAGCGGCACACTTTGACAACACTTTGGCAACTTTCACCTTGATTTCGATTTTCAACGCTACGTTGACCCTCGGCCACTTCCACCTTCTCACGCTCTGAGACCTGTGTTTCTCGACGACACACCTGGTGTCTTCACCTAGGCCTCTATATCAACACCTCTAAACACCTCTGCTAGCACCAGTGCCATACGTATGTTGTAGCAGCTGCAAGCATCTCTGCACCTGTATGATGATGATGATGAATACTGAAGCTGGCAGCCGCACTCCCTTCGAGGTGCGGGAAAAGTGCATTTTGAAGTGGCCATGGCCGTGAGAAAACGCTACTAGGAACAAGTGCCTCGCTAGTAGTAACAAGCGCCTTACTAGTAGTAGCAAGAAGTAACTAAAGGACAAAGGAGAAAATCTTCCGCTCGGACACCTTGAAACCGTCCACGGCCAAAAGCACATCGTCGGGCAAAATGATGCCATTGGCAGGCCCAGCTGTCTCAACAGCCTCGCAACGATTCCAAACCGCGGAAAAACTTGAAGCGCAATGCGTTCAAAAAATTGTCGGCATAGTTGTTCGTTTCAACTTATTTGAACGAGCTCACGGCTAGGCATTTAGAGCGGGCCCACTGCACGTTTCAGCACTGCGAGAAAGACTTACGCAAGTCTGGAGTTTACAGCGATAGCCGTGGGCATCAGCCAAATGCCCGACACTTGAGGAAACGGGGGTGGACGAAAGGTAGCATGTCTGCGGCTGCTGCTGCGGCTGCTGCTGCTGCTGCTGGTTGCTGCTGCTGCTTGCTGCTGCCGGTTGCTGCTGCTGGTTGCTGGTTGCTACTGGTTGCTGCTGCTGGTTGCTACTGGTTGCTGCTGCTGGTTGCTGGTTGCTGCTGGTTGCTGGTTGCTGCTGCTGGTTGCTGGTTGCTGCTGCTGCTG